TTTCCCAGTAAACAAGTGTATTGTTTTGGTAAGATTACATTCACTCAGCCGTCGAGATTCATTATCTGGATTGAGATGCGTTCAGAGCCAAAAGGTTTCGAAGACGGAGGGAAAAAAAAGAATAAATTCTCTTATAATACTTTTCTATATTTATGACAAGTCATAATGGTAATATTTTGGATTTACTGAGTTAGATAAAATCCATTATTGAAGATAGTCTCATTTTCTGGCTGGAAATTTAAAAGTAACGTAGAGGCTTGCTTCTTATTTCTATTGGACCGTGCGGTTCTCCATTTGAACGGGGAGGTGCCTGGTAGACGTGGAGCAGGCAGGGCGCTAGGCAGCCTTTGTGAAGTGGGCGGGGCATTTCAGGGGCTGGAAGCAGCCTGCCAGCTCTCAGCCTGACAGGCGTCCTCAAGGCCCACACCCGAGGCCACATGACCAGGAGCAGGGTCCACAGTGCAGGAGGTGACGACCAGCTGCCGCCACCCGGGAGGCGTTTTCTGTGCTGGGTCTGGCATCCAGAGAGCCACCGACCCCCGGGACCAGGGTCAGAGGACCTGGGACCCGAGCTGAGACACCGTGGCAGGAGGTCCTGTTTGGGGTCCCGGGTACCCGTCTCTGCAGGGCTGCCCCAGGCAGAGGGGGCGAGTCAGCTCCGGGCTCTCAGAAGGCTGGGCTGGAGCCAGCAGTCGAGGGGACGGGGAGGAACTTTCTAGCAGTCAGCCCTGCCTCGTGGGAAGGAGGGCTCCTCACCAGCAAGGCGGGCCGAGGACGGGGTGATGGGAAGGGGGCTTGAGGATGAACTGGGTCCTTAGCGGTCCCCAGGGCCCCGCGGGGTCTCAGGCGGAGCCCCTCCGAGGCGGGCCCAGCCGGTGAGGGGGTCCTGGGCTTCCTCCGATGCGGTCGGGTCCCTCCCAGGGTTCAGAGCCATCACAGCCTCTGACCGCGCCCGGCTGGGCCCCCTGCACGCGGCCCCAGTGACCTGCCTGCAGGTGAGTCAGTGCAGGAGGGACAGAGACAGGGCCTCGGTCACCTGGGCTTTCCCGGGGTCCATGCTACCCACCCACCGGCTCTGCCCTCCCTGCCCCCCTGCTGCTCCCACCCCAGCTCACAAAGGTGGCCCTGCTCAGCCACACGGAGTCCGTACCAGCTGGTGAGTGACAGTGCTCTGTCCTGGCCCTGCCTCCCCCTGCACCCACACCCTCCGAAGCCGGGCTCCTCACAGCACGGTGCACCCTGCCCAGGGAGAGGGGCGCCGTGAGGGTAACCCCATCCCTCTCACACGCGCACACATGCGCAGTGCTCCTCATTGGAGGCAGGGACTGGGCTCCCAGAGCGGCCATGGATGCTGGCCGCCGAGCCCAGCAGTCCAGACCCTGGGGCAGCCTCCTGGCCCTCGGCTGTCATCCCCTGAAACCGGACACAAATGGGTCCAGGCCGCCTGTCACTCCTGGAGCCACTGAAGCAGAGACAGGGCTGAATCGCATAGGAGTGTCTATTCCAATCCTGCCGGCAGGATGGGGAGCATCGGGTCAAGCCATTTGGCAGCTCTGGGCTCCAGTCCCTTCAGCTGGGACATGGGCATGAGGCCCGGCTTCACGGGACTGGGAGGGCGGCTGGGAAGCCCTGTGCTCGGGGCCGGGCCCTGGAAAGGCCCCTGACACGCACTGGCCACCCTCGCCTCCTCCCTGGGACCATGAGGAGTTGGGTGCTGAGGGAGCCCTGGGGGTACCCCCCCCCCTCTCCTGACCTCTCTGTCTGGGTCTGGGCCTCTCTCTGCCCTGAACACACCAGCACCTCTGCTGGCCGCGCATCCGTGTGTCCAGAGCAGCTCCGGTCCAGGTGTCTCGGGGCAAAGCCTCTGAGCCGGTGGCCTGAGGACTTTGATCAGTGTCTGTGGGCGGTTTCTTCTCGGCTCCTCAGAGTGGGACCTGGGTCTGCTCCCTGCCCCCTGCCCGCCTCCCATGGAGCTGGGCCCACAGGCGGGCCTCCCCCGCCCCAGGCTGCCTGTTTCCGTCCACCTCCCGGGACAGCGTGTTCCTGGCACAAGCACCTCCTGTGCACCAGGCTCCATGCTGGGCCTGGGCCGTGGGGAGGGGCCACCCGGCCACGCCAGCCTGTGCTGCAGGTGGACAGGACGCTGCCCACCCACAGGACTCGCTTCCTAGTGCTTGTTGTGCCCCACAAACTGCCCCCCCTTTTCCACAGAGTGACCGAGGCCCCAGCAGCTCATGGCCACTCCGCCTCTTCTCCATCGACGGATGGACAACCATCCACAGGACACCCAGGGCCCGTGTGTGTGTTAAGTCGGACCTCATTCTTACAAAGGTTGCAGATCAACGTCCGGACTTGCATTGGGGGACTGAGGCCCAGGGGGACAGTGACTTCTCTCAAGCAGAGGCCTCTGCGGGCCCCAGGGAGCCGCGAGTCCAGCTCTCCACTCTGGGTCTCGGGTTCTGGGGGAAACGCTCTGGGGAGATGCTGACCCACTAGGAGCCCGTGAGGCAGCCCGGATGGAGCCGGAGCTGGGGGCAGGGAGGGGCAGGTTCTGTCTGCTGCCGGGTCTGGGGGCCGCCAGCCGCTCCTTCTCCTCCTGTTTCCCAGGCGCCTGGGCCTGTGGCTCACTGACCCCATGTGTAAACCCAGCGAACTTTGCCACAGAAACCTTTCCCAGGTAGTCATGCAGGTAGAGAGAAGGACAGAGCACAATAGAGAGGAAGGGGAGAGGGAGAGATAGAAATATCAATGATGAGAGAGAATCACTGATTGGCTACCTCCTGTGCGCCCCCTACTGGGGATCGAGCCTGCAACCTGGGCATGTGCCCTTGACCAGAATTGAACCTGGGACCCTTCAGTCTGCAGGCCAACACTCTATCCACTGAGCCAAACCGGCTAGGGCTAAACTGCCTTTGTCTTTCATGATCTTAACTTTTTTCAAGTGCCCTGGCCTGGGTGTTAAGGTGGTTAGAGCGTTGGCCCTCACACTGAAGGGTCGTGGATTAGATTCCCAGGTAGGTGGATTGCGGGTTCGATCCCTGGCCCCAGTCAGGGCACTTGCAGGAGGCAACCAATCCATGTGTCTCTCTCACATTGATGTTTCTCTCCCTTTCTTGCTCTCTCTCTTCCTCTCTCCCCCTCTCCCTTCACCTCTTTCTTAAAATTAATGGAAAAAATATCCTCAGGTGAGGATTAACCAAAAAGAAAAGAAAAGGGTACAGGCAAGTTATTTAGTAGAATGTCCCTTAACCGTATTTAATCCCTAAATTATGTTTCCTCATAATTTCTCTCAAGTTATGCATCTTCGCCCAGAATTCTACAGAAGTGATGTGCATTGGTTTCCTGTTGCCATTAGAACACATGACCACACACTAAGTGGCTAAGAAAACCACAGGTTTCCTGGGTCGCAGTCTGCAGTGGGTTCACTGGGTCACAGTCACAGTGTCCGCGGGGCCGCCTTCCTTCTGGAGCGTTAGGGAGAACCCCCTCCCTGCCTTTAGAGGCGCCCACATTCCTTGGCTCGTGGCCCCTTCCTCATCTTCAAAGTCAGCTCTGCGGGATCTTTAGACACCTTTGCCTCCCTCTCTACGTGTGAGTTAGAAGTACAATTACATGCCCCCCGCCCAGGTAATCGAGAATAACCTCCCTATTTTTAAGATCCTTAATTTAATCACATCTGCAAAGATCTTTGACACATAAGATAACATGTTCCCAGATTCTGTGTTAGGATGGGGACATCTTTGGAGGATCATTCAGTCTTTCACATACATGTCCTCCTTAGGGGATCATATCTGGAGGCATGTGATGTCCGTCTGTCCCATGATTGTGACTATATAAATGTGACACTTGTTATGGTTGTATTTGCAAGGTTAACCCACTGTAACCTACTTTTTACTTTTGTAATTAATAGTCAATGTGAGGGCGATACTCTGAAACCAGGTCAATATCCTGTACCTGGCCTCTATTGATGATTATTGGCTAACGCCTTTATTATCGAGAATCTTGCAAAGGGATTGTCCATTCTCTACAGTGATCACTAAGCGCTTAACATAAGGGAGAGCTTTGCCTTCTCCTCCTTGTATTTATTCCTTCATCTCATTTATTGACTCACAGACTCCTCTGGTGCATGGGGGACGCTCAATCCACTGAGCCTTGCCGGCCGGGCTAGACTCTGATTCCATGAACAATCTGTTATTCAAATGATGTGTTTTGGTGCCCACACTGTCCCAGAGTTAGCCAAGCTGGCTCCTGAGTCCTTTGGACACGTCCCCGTCATTCCTTCAGCACTTGCTTCCTGCCGTCCCATGTTCCAGGCTCACCTTGTGCTTGTCCTGCTCGGCCCGGCAATCAGTCATTCCCCCAGAGTCTTCCCCTGTTTGCGTGGAATGGTGTTTAGAAACCAAGGTCTTGGTGCTGGGTGTGCTCACTCCTTTTGGGCTTCTAGGCCCTGTCAGAGGACAGCGCTTCGGGATATCAGTAAAACTCAATAGGCTGCTTAGTGGATAAGGAAGAGGTTCCTCAAAACCTCCCCTACTATCTGAAGCTTGGACAGAGATGGATATCACAGGACACGTTCAGCAAAGACTCTGGAATCACAAGAGGCGCCGGATTCCACGACTGCGCTTCATGTGTCGGCATCAAAAAGGTAGTGAGGGTCATGAGCTCCTGGGGCGGGCACCTCACCTTTGGACACTGCCTTCCTGTTACTCTATTTCATTGACCCTCATAAAAGTGTTCAGAAGGCCAAACTTCTACCCGGAGGCCTGGAGGAATTTATGGAAAGGGACTCTTCTCTTCTCTTGCGGAGGGCACGGCAAGCAGGCAGTGTCGCATCTAAGATTCCTGGCCCCTCCCAGGAACATGATGGGCCTGAAGGTAACCAGTGTTCCCTCCACCATTTCCAAGTCAGTTTCCATCAGCGGGGCTGGGATCACGGGATCATTGCTCCCAATCGCTATGCCCCAAACTACTGTAAGGGTGCCTGCCCTCGGGCACTACACTATGGTCTCAATTCTCCCAATCACGCCATCATCCAGAACCTTGTCAATGAGCTGGTGGACCAGAGTGTCCCTCAGCCCTCATGTGTCCCTTATAAGTGTGCTCCCATTAGCATCCTTATGGCTGAGGCTAATGGGAATATCTTGTACAAGGAGTATGAGGGTATGATTGCCCAGGCCTGCACATGTAGGTGATAGCACAGATACAGGTAGCTCAAGTTTCCCAAGAAATTGGAGTAGGGTTTAAAATAAAGAGACAAATGTTGCCGAAACCGGTTTGGCTCAGTGGATAGAGCGTCGGCTTGCGGACTGAAGGGTCCCAGGTTCGATTCCAGTCAAGGGCATGTACCTTGGTTGTGGGCACATCCCCAGTGGGAGATGTGCAGGAGGCAGCTGATTGATGTTTCTCTCTCATCAATGTTTCTAACTCTCTATCTCTCTCCCTTCCTCTCTGTAAAAAATCAATAAAATATATTTTAGGAAAAAAAAAGAAAAAAATAAATAAATAAAATAAAATAAAGAGACAAATGTCAATGTTAAAGCTACAGTGATGCTCTAGCTAAAAAATAAAAAATAATAAAAAATAAAAAATAAAATAAAAAAATAAAATAAAAAAATAAAAAATAAAATAAAATAATAAAAAAATAAAAAAACTCAATAAGAGTAACTGACACACAGCAACAGCTGTTTCTCTCTTTGTCCATCTATAACCGCAAGGAAGTGGGGAGCAGACGCGTCATTCCTCGAGAACAAACCTGGGAGGTTATGGACAACAGCCACCGGACGTCAGCAGGAATGTCGGGAAGCCACAGCACCAGTCTGCAGGAATAAAAGCAGACAGACAGACAGACAGACAGACACATGCGCGCACACACACACACACACACACACACACACAGTGTCAGCAGGAAGATGAGCCAAACGAAGAGAACCAAACAAAAGCTGAACGAAAGGCAGCCAGCTTTACAACAAGGCCCCTTGTGCCACTAAACTGTGGGGCTCACGTCTAATCCCAATCGGATAAATCCTCAGAAGGTGGATTCGGACAACC